CTTTCTAACGTTTCTGAGCCCTGAGTGTTTCACCTGTTAAAAGATAAGAGCAATAACTGCTTTTGCTTCATTAACATAATATTCATGTCATCCAAACAAAAATGATTATGGAGGCTTGTGATTTAGAGATACATGATGATATTTTTTATGAATCTTGGTTCAGTTCGCTCTTATTGGTCACATCCTTCTCATTCTAAACCTTCAGGAGCCTCTTGAATGTTTCTAAATCTTGACCCAGTCACGTATGTTGGTTATTTCTTCCTTTGAAAAAGATTAATCTAACCAACAGGGAGAGCTGTTCCTTTCTATCTGTGAGGATAACTGTATTTCTTATTTGACGGCAAAGCTTCAGTTGTTTCAACGCTGCCTGTTGGGGACTGTCACCAATGACCCAACCAGCCTGACTCCCTGTGGCCATGCAGAACGGACTCAGTGCCAGTGATGGGCTGGGCACTGAGCACGTGGTAGACAGACAAAGAGTGTCCTCAACATCCCACATTAAAGTTTCTTGACTTGTCCTCAACTTGCTCTCAGCTCTCTCTCCCTCTAGTCCTCCCCGGGTATTTCTGGGAAGGGCTGGCTTTTTATTTCATGTTAGCTCCCTCTCTAGGAAGGTGACTTTGCATAGCGACCTGCAGTGCATTTACTGTATCATAGCTTTTAACATGCTCTGGGAGCAAGAAAAAAATATCCTTGAGGTAGTAGTCCAGATAGCCTTTTTGGTGTTTTGGCAGGACAATTCTTTGTCGTGGGGCCTGTCCTGTGCACTGTAGTACGGTCAGCATCATTGCACACAGGGTGCCATTTGGCTCCCCAAGCAGTGACAAGTGAACGTGAGAACCACCCCAAAAATGAGGCCCAGCTGAGAACCACTATTTTAGGGCTTATGGATATTGTATCAGTCAGGGTTCTCTAGAGGAATGGAACTGATAGGATGTACATATGTGGGGGGACGTGTGTGTATTTGCACACACATGTATATATAAAAAATAAGGAATTGGCTCGCACAATCTTGAAGGCCAGCAAGCCCAAAATCTGCAGGGTGGGGCCGCAGACTGGAACCCCAGGAGAGCCAGCGTTGCAGTTTGGATCCAAGGCTGAGTGCTGTGGAGTCAGGGAGAGCTGGCGTTGCAGATGAAGCCCAAAGGCAGTGGCTGAGGGTTCTGGTGCCAAGGGGAGGCTGGTCTTTTTGATTTAGTCAGATCTTCAACTGATTGGGTAAGGCCCACCCACACTATGGAGGGCAATCTGCTTTACTCAAAGTCTACCTATTTAAATGTGAATCTCATTTTTAAAACACTCTTAAACACCTAGAGTAACCTCTGACCAAACATCTCTGCACCTGTGGCCTGGCCGAGTTGACACATAAAAGTAACCACCACGGATACGCAGTGATCAAATAGTAGAACAAATATTTCACATTAGAGAAAGAAGAATGGGAAAGGAGTTCGAGATTGAATGTTGAAAATGAAAGGAGGGAAACAACAGAGGAGAGGAGGAATAAAGAAGAGGAAGGGAGGCGGGCTGGGAAGTTTCCTCTGGGTTCATGTTTCTGGCGGGTGTCTTCGCTATGCCAGGAGGCGGCGCCTTCGGGACCCACTGCCCACATGCACGCCAGGCTGTCCCCGCTGCTCCCAGCCCTCGCCGGAGCACAGGGGGCTGCGGGAGCTGGCACCAGGGACTCGTTTAGTGGCCAGTCCTTGCTCTGGGGCTCCCCACGGGCCTGACCATGACTTTCTGAGAACTGCAGTCTGACACCCTTTCTACCCAGCTCCCTTCCCATCTCTTTCTCTCCCTCCCCAGACTCCACTTGCTCTGGACTGGATAGTGTCCCCCAGAACTCAGGTCTGCCTGGGACCTCCGAATGGGACCTTGTTTGGAAATGGGGTCTTTGCAGATGGGATGAATTAAGGTGAGGTCACACTGGGCTAGCGTGGGGCCTAAGTCCAGTGACCGGCGTCCTCATGAGAAGTCCAGGTGAAGACGCGGAGAGGGGGCACTGCGTGCAGATGGACGCAGAGATTAAAGTGACGTGTCTCCAAGCCAAGGAGCGCCCAGGACTGCCGGGGACCAGCAGAAGCTGGGAGGGAGACGTGGAAGAGATTCTTCCTCCAGGCTCCAAAGGAACCAATCTGGCCAGCGCCTGGATTTCGGACTTCTGACTTCCAGAACTGTGAGACCATAAACTTCTGTTTCTTGTAGCCATCCGGTCTGTGGTGCTATGTGAGGCAGCCCCGGGACACCAGTGCACGGCTCCGCGTGGTGGCCTGACACCCTCCCCATCTACACCGTCCTCTCCTCTGTCCTTCATAGACATTCCCACCAATAAATCTCCTGCCCCTCCGGTTCCATCTCGGCATCTACTTCCCAGGAGACGCAAATGGCCACATCCCTACAATAAAGCATTGGCCCAGTTTTCAGCGTTCAATCGAAAGTTCCAGAGAGGGTCTTTACCATTGATGCGACAACAGGTGTTGAGCTGCTGCTCCTCTCCCGACCGTGCTTAGTGGAAGCAGTGTAAAGATGAACAAGACGTGGACTCTCCCCTCAGTGCTCTCTCTGTCTAATTAGAAAAGGGCTTCGTCTGGAGGAATATATGAAGGAAACAATTTAAATCTCAATACAGTGGCAACAACGTCGTAATCGAGATAAGCAAAGCACGTTAAGGCACTGCAGAGGCTGAGACTCTTAGCAGCAGATGGTCCCCTGACCCAGATGGGAGCCACAAGAAACCTCGGCAGAAAAGGAAAATCTGATGCTGAGACTGGAAAACGAAAAGGAGTTGGCCAGACAGAGCCTAGGTGAGGGGCATTCTCAGCAGAAGGCAAGCGGATAGGAAGGCAGATGTATTATTTACGAGACTAAAATGAAGCAGATCGTCAGCATCCTTCACCTTGGGAAAGAGACAACATGGCCAAACAGCTTCTGGAATGGCCGTGGAATCGTGCTGAGCGGAGCACACGATGCAGAGTTTGCACTATTGCCTACACTTCCCCCACCGCCTGCTCCTTGCCCAGCGAGACTCGGTCCTAGTTTCGCCTGGGATTGGACAGACCCTGTCTAAAGTTGGGATTAGACATAACAGACACGCACCTGGAGATCTGAGGAATCCAGCAGAAATCTGCTTATAATCCCCAGGGATGTCACATCCCAGTGCGGAACAAAACTCAGTGTGAATCGGCAGCATCGAAATGAGGCTATGAAATAAGTAAAAAGGAAATTATGTGTTTTTTAAAGACATACCTCGCACTTGTTTGGAAGGTGTTTGGAAGCAAAAGTTAAGGTCCCTTCAATAAAGAAAAATATATCATCTGAACATTCTGATGTAAAGTAAATTACCAAATATTGTTATGAGCATCAGGCACTTTGTCGAAACTGTCTAGTAACACTGTAACGCCGAGTGTGCAGTTGGCGGGCGGTAGGGAAGGGAGGGGTCCTGGAAAAACGGAACGAGTGACAGAATGGAACGAGGACATCAGAGCTGTGGCTCACGCCTGCTATCCTAACACTCTGGGAGGCCGAGGCTGGAGGATTGCTTGAGGTCAGGAGTTCGAAACCAGCCTGAGCAAGAGCAAGATCCATCTCTACTATAAATAAATTAATTGGCCAACTAATATATACAGAAAAATTAGCTGGGCGTGGTGGTGCACGCCTGTAGTCCGGGCTACCTGGGAGGTTGAGGCAGGAGGATTGCTTGAGCCCAGGAGTTTGAGGTTGCTGTGAGCGAGGCTGACACCATGGCACTCACTCTAGCCTGGGCAACAAAGCGAAACTCTGTCAAAAGAAAAGAAAAGAAAAAGAAAAGAAAGAGAAGAGAAGAGAAGAGAAGAGAAGAGAAGAGAAGAGAAGAGAAGAGAAGAGAAGAGAAGAGAAAGGAAAGAGGGTTCATCTTGGGAAATTCTGCTTCTCCCTTCACACACAAAAAAAAATTTAAGAAAAAAATTACTGAAATAGCAACCAAATAGATACTATTAATAAAACCCTGAACAGAGGGGTCTAGAAAGACAGGACATCTGGTGCACGGGCTGTTCCCGATGTCTGCCTCCCTGGCTGGGCTGGCCTGCCCCTTCCCGCGGACCCTGCACTCCTCTCGGGACAACATGCAGCCAACAGAACTTTAAACGTGCGTGCACAGCCAGTTCGTGCGTGTGTTCTCGGACCGCAGCCTCCCCCAGGCCGTCTCTAAGCGCGGGCATCTTTCACTGGTCTCAGGAATGGCAGGGAGCGGGAGATCGGGCAGGGACGGCAGGGACAGAGCTGGTCAGCTGCAGGGACAGAGCTGGTCAGCCGCAGAGACGCTCCAGCAGCGGGTCCTCTGCCGGGCCGGTCCTCGGAGCACTGAGCAGCGAGTCCCAGAGGCTGGTGAGGGCGGGGGAGGCGGGGAGGGGGCAGGAGAGAGACAGAGAGACAGACATTCCTTGCTGAAGGCGCGTGAGAACGCAGGAGGCAACACAAGTCCCACTCCAGGGGTGGGGCAGGGGCCGTCCCGGGCCGCGGGCGGGCCAGGGCAGGGCGAGGGGCTCGCGGGCTCCAGCGCGCCCACTGGGCGGGCACCGGGCCCACCACCTTTCCACCTTCCTCTCCCCCAGTCCCGCCTCCGCGGGGGAGACAATTGTCCCCGAGTGCCCCACCCCGGGCATCAGGGCGCGCTAGGACGCGGGGAAACTGAGCAGAAATGTAGGGAAGGTGCTAGAAAGCAAACTTCAGGTTGGAACTCGTGGCGGGGCTGATTTCTTCTCCCACCCTGCGGAGTTCCTGGCACGAAGCGTGCTCGGTGCTCGCCGGGCGCGGGACAGGGGCGGAGGGAGGCGAAGGAGCGCCCCTCCACCGCCACAGGCCGGCGGCGCCCGGGACCACCGGCTCGGCTCCCGAGGGCGGCGTGGCCGCAGGACCGGCCGCTCTCCATTCGCCGGGCGCGTGGGCGTCCCCGCGGGCGCCACCTGAGCCGCACGCCCGCTGACACGCCCCGCGGGCGGCGGGGAGGAGGGACCGGGTTTCGCTTCCTCGCGGGAGGCAGCCGCGCCGCTCCTCTCCCAGAGCCGGCCGCCCTCCGCCTCCGCCGGCACGGATGGGCAAAGCGGAGCGCGCGGAGCGGAGCATGGGCACCCGGGATCCCGCAGACCTGTGGGGCACGCCCGCCGGGGACGCCGAGCTGCTCCGGGACTTGGGGTAAGAGCGCGGGCTCCTCTCGGCGCGCCTCGGGTGGACGCGGCCCCACTCCCGCCCGCGGGCCCTCCACTCCCACCCCGCGGGGCCCCCCACTCCGGCCCGCGGGGCACCCCACTCCCGCCCGCGGGGCACCCCACTCCCGCCCGCGGGGCCCCCACTCCCGCCCGCGGGGCACCCCACTCCCGCCCCGCGGGCCCCACTCGGGCTGGCTGTGATCAAAGGCGTCTCCCCCCACCTGCCACCCTGTCCACTTTCCCCCTCGGGCCTGTCGGGGATCTTCCGGGCTGGGGCGCCTTCCACAGTAAAAGCCTGTATTATTTCCCAGATGTGAAATAGGCAGGTGAGACAAGGGGATGGAAATCAGACACTGGGCATCCTTTGAGAACAGGGACAGGATTAGGAGGTGGCAGGTGGCCGCTTGGTGTTCTTGATGTTGCTCTGGTTGATGGGTCGATGCGCTGTTGGAGAGGTTTGGGCCCCGGCTCGGGGACAGAGGACTGCATTGCAGCGAGATAAACAGAAAGCCTCCCCTGGTGTAGGGGACAGGGACTTTTTCAGAAACGGAGAATGAGGAAGTTTCTGCAGCAATCTTGCTGCTGTGTGTTGGTGAGCTCTTGTGTGCGCACGTGCGACGCGCAGCCTCGGGCCTTTAAACACCAGCGATCCAAGAGGAGGATGAAATTTCTGCCCCCAACAGGTAGTTTAGGTAGATGGGGTCCCTGGAGTTCTGTCTTTAAGAACGGACCCAGATGAGGCAACTCATCAGGGCGCAGTTAATAAAAGAAGTGAGTATTACACAAGACGGGGTAGGGGATTTCCTGGAGAAACTGAACCTTCCTCCTAAAGCACTGGGAGCATCCGAGGAGGGGGTTGACACCTGGGGGTGCGGAGAGGGGAAACCCTTACTTTCTGTCTGGGTAAATAGCTCTGAGTCTTCCCAGCACAAATGGCACAGGAGCGGGCGTGCAAACAAGCCCCAGACAAGTTTGAATGATTGTGACCTGCCAACTAGTCTCGCCTCCTCAATTAATTGGCAAAGCTGACTGTCCAGCCTGCCAAAGGCTCTGATCTTATGAAAAAAAAGAGAGTTGAACTCTCTGTGTTAAGACTACAGAGACTGTATCTTTTTGTGTTGTATTGCTGCAATAGTCCTAAATAACTCCTGTTTTTAGATTTTAAAATTTTGGTCTCAGAATTTAACTCTGCGTTCATTTGGCAAATCAGTTGTAACATCTGGAATTTCCGATAAAGAAAACTCCCCTTATTAGGAAATCAGAGTTCCAGGCTCCTTCTGTCCTTCTAGACGGAATCCCCAAACAGGAGCGGTGACAGGCCCCTCTGTGAGCAAAACAGGTGTCACGGGGTTGGAGCACTGAAGCTGGATTTGGGGTTCTCACTTAGTGCCTTATGAATCATTGGCCGGTAATGCTTGGTGTGTGTTTTATCTGTAGTCTCAGCCCTTGGTAGTAGGAAACCCCAAAGGAGAAACAGACAGAGGAGATATTTAATTCTCATCTTTTAATTAAACAAACAATCCTTGAACCACACTCTCGCTTGAGGACTGTGGGCACACACTTAGGTGACAGAGATGAACGGCACGACATCTCTGTGCCCTGCCATAATGCCAACAGCAGGAAGCAACTTTAGGTCAACCCCACAGGGGAATGGAACCCAGTCTTTCCTCTCTGTGCAAAGAATAGTCATTCAATACAAAATGCCAAGTCTAACACGCGCGTGCACACACACGCATGCACGGCGCATATGTGTACAGACTTCTCTATTTCAGAAGGCCTGGAAGTTTATTGAACATGTGAGGATGATTTCTGTAACAATGGGCAACCTGCAGTTACCTGGGGGAACTGCTCAGCCTTCCCTGCTGTGGGTTACAACAACCCGAGGAGTTTTTAAAAAACTCCTGGTGCCCAAAGCCACATACCTGACAAGTGACTTCAGGGTTTCTGGGGGTGAGTGTGCTCTTTTTCAACACTCTGAGTGATTCCAACGTGAGCCTGAGCTTGAGACCCACTGCACAGAATATATATCCACCAAAAGCATTGAGTCAGTGTGCCCTTATTTTTCATTTTAAGTCTGCTGGGTGTGTACCTGCATCTTAAGGCCACCAAATCATTGTTGGCATTTTGTTTGTTGGTTTGGGGGCATTTTTGTTAGCAATTTTATTAAGGTATATTTTACATACCATAAAACTACCCATTTCAAGTGTACAGTTCAATAGTTTTTAGTAACTTTAAAGAGTGATATAACCATATCATAAATCTGATTAGAACATTTTCATTTTTTGGTTTTTTTTGAGATCACGAAGTGAGAAGAACATTTTCATCCCCCCAAAAATAACCCTCGGGACAGGGTTTCTGATTTCTAATATTTGCCTAATTCTTTGGTATAAATACTCTCATCATAGCCAATTTCAAGCTGCCAAAACTTTAACATCCAGCTTGCAAAATTGAACATTTAATAATCAGCTTAAGCCAGTGCCTGCCCCTGCAGTATGCCACTGGTACACTTTTTATAAGTAATAATTTCAGAAATCTTTACAATGACTTGTTGCCTCTGTCAGAATACTGAATACGAATGAAAACTTTTCTCTGAACCTTGAGCCCAGAACTTCTGATGAATTCAGTTTTTAAAAAGCTCAATAAGAACAAAATGATGGAATGTAATTAATAGATAAAAAGTGGCTGATTTAATGACTTAATTTTAAAGTTATTTTTAATAACTTATTCAAGTAGTTAAATTCTTATGTTTATATTTTTGGTAGATACAAACAGATAATTTAGGGGTTAAATTACAGAGACATTGTAAGTTTTGTTCTTGGGTCCCCGTTTTTCTCCAGGCTCGGGATGTGTAAATCCTATAAACAGAGCCCTGGGTCACTTCCCGTTCTAGGACATGGGCCACTTGCTCAGAGCACAGCTTTATTGTTTTCTAAGGTGCCTGAATCAAGCAACTCGGATGCATTTGGGTGTCTCATTTATAAGCAATAGTCTAAAATCATTTATTTTCTTTCATTCTAAAGGCATGAATGTGCCCAAAAGCAAAGGAGAAAATAAACAAAACCATCTTCAATTGTTGCTCAGCTCCACTTAGCCTGGGTGCTGTTGATGGGGGAGGGGGAGGGGTGTTGAGGGAGGAAGGGGGAGGAGAGGAGGAAGGAGGAAGAGAGAATGATGGGGGAGGAGAGAATGATGGGCGAGAGACAGGGGGACCAGGACAGTCTGCTGCTTTCTGAATGAAGCCATGGGGAAACAAAATAAGGAATAAACATTAGAGACATCACCCAAGTAATAAACTGGCATAGAACTACTAGTTAGTTAATTATTTAAAATTCCAGCAATTCTTTGGTTGTAATAAAGGATCCTACAAGATAATGTGGGAATAGTATAGTTATATATAACCATAGATACAAAAGGGATACTGTCAAATAAAAACATTTCAGGATATTTTAAAATTAAATATTCAAATGATCTAGTTAGACCTAATCCAGAGTGAAAAATATAATCAATATACTTTCCCAGATCTCAAATTTTATAAGAAAGTCACAGTGTTTGGCTGGGTTGGCCAAGGCCAGGAAACTAGATTCTAAGCTCTGGATATTTAAATAAATACAAATTTCTTCATTTCTCTGCCCTTTAATTTTCCACATATAAGAGAAGGTTAGAGGAGATCAGGGATCAGCAATTTTTTTCTAATGAAGGTCCAGGTGACACATATTTTAGGCTTTGCTGGCCTTCCGGTCGCTGCCACAACTGCTCACATCTGCCCGTGCTGTGCAAAAATGACCGGAGAGCACAGAACCAGATGTCTGTGACAGTGCCCACGAACTTTATTTGTGGGTGCTGAAATGCAAATTTCATGTAACTTTCATGAGTCACAAAATACTCTTCTTCTTTTTTCCCCAACCATTTCCGAGTGTGAAACCACGCTCGGCTCTCGGTGGGTACCGACACAGGTGGCTGGCAGGTGTTGGCCCTCTGGTAGGGGTGCCGCCCACGGAGTAAACGACACTAAGCAGGACATTGCAAGGCAGACAGTTTGCAGACGCTGTCTCTGGTCTCCAGAAGGCATCCGCGTCCCAACTTTACACTGGAGGAGACTCAAGAGCAGAGAGATGGGATTGCTGAAGCCCCAGGGCGTCTGGGTCGGAAGCCCATGCTTGTTTCATAACCCAGGCTGCTTCTCTATTGGGTGCTCAGTGTTCGCTGAGACCACCTACTGAGCCAGCACCCTGCCAGTCACATGCATACTCATTTAGCCTTCACAGGGGCACTTTCAAAACAATGTCATCCTGCTCATTTCATAGATGCAGAATGACTCCAAATAAGTTAAGTGCTGGGTCCAGGTCCAAGTCACAGAGCTCGTAAGTGGCGGAGCTGAGACATGCCTGGGGCTCACCCTGAGCTGCTGCCCTTTGCTGGTTGCACTGTGCCAATTCGGCAGAGCCGGGTGATCAGAGGTTTGCATCCTAATAATGGCGATCAGTCGTTATTGGATGCTTAGCCTGTGCCAGGCACTGTTTGCAGCCCTTTGCGTGTATGAGTTTATTCAGTTCACACATCGCAGTGAGGCGGGTACTATTACTAGTGTCACCCCGTTTACAGATGAGAAAAGGACAGAGCCATAATCACGTGCCCCAGATGACATTCCAGGAAACCTTCAAATCCAGGAGTTTTGCTCCAGAGCCTTCATGCTTGACCTGTCATGCAACTTCCTAATTTTCGTCAAACTTCTGTCTTCTTGTCATACTAGCACAACTTACTAGTGCTAGTGGCAAAGTGAGAGAAGAAAAGAGAGCTCTGTGATTTCCACAACCAACACAGTTTACTGCGAAAGACGTCATGCCTTCTGCTCCCCACACAACGCACAGGGCGCACGGCCAGGCCGGCGTCCTGCTCACGGAGGTGCGACGCGAGGCGGAGCGGGCGCTTGCGGGTCCCCGTCCTGTGCACAGCGCTGCAGTCGCGGACTGGCGCGGAAGGCGGGCT